ATTACGTGATTTTAAATTAAAGATATATTAAATGTATTAAAATATCTTTTTATTTATGATTTTAAACATGTTACGTGAAAAGTTGATTGAATCGGAGGGAATTGTATATTTTTTAAAAAGGATTGGAGAAGTAAAGGATTCTGTGTGTGTGTCACGGGGGTTTAACCTCAAGATAATGGGTAAACTATGTGCGCTCTCTCTCTCTCATATAAAAAGTTTTATCCGCCCTCATCGTTTTATTTGACACTACCAAAAAAAAAGATGAATTTTGAAATTTGTGGTCTAAGATAAATTTTAGATATTTATATATAGTTATAAATTATTTTATTAAATTTGAGAAATTTTAAAGTTAATTTTTCTAATTATATAAATGTGACATTATATTTTAGTGTGACACATAAATTGGGACAGTGAAAGTATATATATAAATACACACACTTGTGATCCTAAACTAAAGATATATATTGAACATACTAAAATGAATGTCGTCTAATCTTATAGTTTTAAATATGACATATGAAAATTTTAAATATGACATAATTTAAAAATAAAAATAAGATAAATAAATTACTTAAAACGGAGGGAGTATTTTTGTTTTTTGTTGAAGAAACAATTACTGTAATAGATATGGGTATAATTATGTTACTCCTTTGATTCTTCTTTCTGAATTTCTCCATAATTTGAGGGTCATTAATTACGTATTTCTCGAACTAAGATGATTTGAACTTGTTCTCCATGAAAGAATTTATGAATCTTGATCTCCATAATTCAAGTGTTGTTAGTGGTTATTTCTCGAACAAAGATAATTTGGACTTGATTATCTCCATGATAAGAATTGTGGTTATATGTTTTGATCTCTTATGAATACCTCAGAGTTTATGAGATATTCGAGATGAGGGAGTAGTAATTAACATTAATTAGAATCATTAAGTGAGAAATAAATTACTACTATGGCAAGACAAGATTGGGGTCACGTGTATTAAAGATGAGTAGTAGTGGCGTTTGAATAATGTAGTTTGTCAGAAGGTGTATGTGTGTATTTCATTAGAGTTCCATCAATCATATCCTCTGAATTCATTGTAATTTCGAGATCATCAAAGAATCATACAACTTTTCTTTTCCATCGAATGAAATCCAACATCTTTCTGCTACTGCTCCCACCATTTTACATTATCTGTAAAGTTAGTTTTCGTGTTGCTTAATGCTACCCCTAAAAGTAACAATAGTCTTTATTAGTATAGTAATAATTAACCGGCTTTTATCTAGGCTGACAAGCTTACGAAGAAGATATGTGTTATTCTTTATGGGATCATATAGTGGGACACTCATTACTTTGACTTTTCACTTGCTATAGTCATAAGCTATAGTAGTTTCGGCTCACCATCATAGAGGTCCACCCTGAGAGATCAGAGTGGTTCAACAGTTAACCTTCATTTGAATTATGTTTGGAGTGTCAGATCTAGTTATTTATCTAAAGAGTTATTGCAATTACTTATCTTAGATTCCATCACCACAATCTTCTGGTTCACCTGTAGTACAAAGAGATGAAAGTGAAGAGTTTTATGAACATAACACAAATTCGTTTTAGGACTCTATGATGGTGTTGCCCAATGGCCAAATCTATGCGGTCTGTTGGACAAAGTAAACCATATATGACATGTGCTTGAGTACTTGTGACAAATATGGTATCCAAGGGGACACTCATTAATATAATAGAAATGTATGTCACTCATGATGGGTGGCGGCTAGACAAGGTTGGATTGTAGGCAAATTTCTAGGTTGGTGAGCTTATGAGCTGAAGAAAGGGTACATGTTATACCTTAAGGCTTAAGCGAACTCCAATATATGGTAAACATGTGTTTGAGCTCCATGTTGACATAGCTTAAAAAATAAATTCATTAAATTTGTTGAGCCAAAACGAATAATATATATCATGGGTTCCAATCCTTACAAAAATATCAAGTTCATACTTTTTGCTTCAAAATTCTAGTGATACTACTCATTACTTTTTCTCATTTTATCTTTTGAACTGCAATTTTTTTTTGGTTAGGTAGGATGATGTTCATTTTTCATCAAGAGTGTCACAATCTATTCATCACAAGCTTTTGTAGTAGAAATTGTATTTAACGTATTTATTGCAATTAATGAAGCGCTAGCAATCAAGATAAAGATTGTCAGTGAATATGTTCTAGACAAAATATTGGGAGATTAGATTGGTAGTTCTTTACGAATTTGTATTAGTTGTGTCATTTTTACTAGAGATTTTTATTTTAATATATATGCAAAAGATTTTCATTTTATATGTATGATAAAATATTCGAAAATGCATTTTTTTTGTTGTATTTATAAGTCTTTGTAAGATGTCATTACAATTTACAAAGTTAAAAAAGCTTATAAATATTTGTGTGACCGTAAAATATAGTCGAATATTTGTTTCTGTTATTGCTGATCATTTACTAGAATAATAAGTCATTTTGTTATATGAGGAGAGTTTATTTAAATTTAAATGAAATGTTATGTGAGTTATTGAATTTTATTTTGTAGATCTGTTTATTTTTTTAGATTGGCTATTTAAAACCTTTTATATTTGATAAAATTTAAGAGAGAAAAATTTAATAATCTTTCAACCTTTTTTCGTTATACCGGCTTTGAAAAAATAACAGAGCCTCACTAGTCATATACGAGATCCGTGAGTTAATTCTAATGAATCATGTTAAAACTATTTAAAAACAATATCAATTTTTAATCTATTTTTCAAATATGATAAGCAATAATCTCTCCATAAATTTTCATAGATGAAAATGATTAAATTTAACCTGTGAAAATAAAATCATATCTTAAAGTTTATAATATAAAAAATTGTAATGGAAAATGAATTCCATTCACAAGAGAAAAAAATACAAAAATGCGAGACATAAAAAAAAACTTGGGAAAAACTAAAAAAGATATAAGTCTAAGAATGTGACTGAATCAAATAAATTAAATCTTTTTAATATTTGTAAAATATTTCTTAGCAATTCAATTTTTAAATATTATTTATTTGTTAGGAGTAATGTGGATTGGAATATCAATGACATCGTTATATTGATTTGACATTGACAAAGAGAAATTGAATTTACAAAGAGATTTTGAATTTCTTAGAATTCAAAAGGACGAGTCTGTCATCAAGTATCATGATAATATTCTTTTGATGAGAATTTCAAAAATGACAAAATAGTTGAATTAATTTTTGTGATAATTCCACCGAGATGTTAGATTAAAATTTATTTTATAACGGAGTCTAAAGATCTCTCTATCGTTTATATAATAAAATTGGTAAATACTTTTAAAGCATGGAGACAAAGAAGAGTCTTCAAATATTATTGATGATACTTTTTATGCACAAAACAAAAAAAATATTAATGAAAACCTGATGCAATATGCAAAAATTTCAAACAGATATGTCATGTCAAGAAAGTGTACGATTCAATGACGCTCAAAACAATCATCAAACACAAACAACAAAAACAAAAATTGAGGTGGATTAACTTTATCACACAACAATATATAATTGAAAGATAGGACTTAGGGTGTTCAATATTTGTTATTTTACTAATCTACTAGAATAATAAGTAGTTTAGTTATAAAAGGAGTCTTTATTTTAATTTTGTTAGATAAGTATAACTCCATTAAGTGTGATATTAAGGGATTTTGAATATATTGTATAAAAATGTACTATTATATAAAATGTGCTAAATTAATTATTTAATTAATTTAGAAAGGGGGTTGCACTAGCTCTATAGTATTTCATGGGTCCTCCTTATCTTCTTGTTTATTTAATTTTCCCTTTTTTGTGGGGTTACACGTTGGGGCCTTGTGGGGTTGGGAGGAATGCGATGTTGAGAACAGTGGACTATATAGCAAAGGCTGAAAACCCTATACATGTATCATGTGATTTACCTACTGTTCTAGCGTCTACACAATGCAAACAACTAATTATATGATGGTAGCCAAACAAATATCACGAGGTTAATAAGCTATGCACGTACATGAAGTGACAAGAGGAGTTGCTCGTATGGTAAACACTTGTAACTTCTAACCTGAATTTTATGAGTTCTAATTATCAAAGGAGCAACAAGATGGGAGTTGGTTCCAACCTGAATATTATGAGTTCGAGTCTCCATGGGAGCAAAAAGGTGGGAGTTGGTTCTAACCTGAATATTATGAGTTCAAGTCACCAAGGGAGCGAATATTATGAGTTCGAGTCACCAAGGGAGCAAAAAGGTGGGAGTTGGTTCCAACCTGAATATTATGAGTTCGAATCACCAAGAGAGAACAAGGTATTGAAGCTTTCAGTTAACAATAATTATATATCAACAATCAACCTGTTAAATTAGGTCTTGGGCCAAACTCACACCCCAAAAGCTAGCTCAAAGAAAGGAGGATTGCCCAAGACTTATAAGGAGTCCACTCATCTCATTAACCATCAATGTGAGACTTTTGTCATTCTTTAACGCAACCAAATTTGTCTTCCTTCTCTTCTCTTTCCTGTCATATAGACATGTTGCTTCACACAAGACTTTTTAGAAAAACAAAAAGAAAAGTGATTTTCTTTACTGCGTCCCTTGCTCTTCAAGTTGCCTTAATTAGCTTAGAAATAATAAATTAAATTATAGTACTAATGTTTGATCTTTACTCAGATTTTTGTGCCCTTTTTGATAAGTTTCTTTCGGCTATACATTTATAATATTGAAACTTGGCAGCTTTGCAGCATATATTAGGTAAAGAAAAATGTGGTCCATATGAACAAAAGTCTGAAATCGTATGTAAATAAGTAATGCATTTATTAATAAAGGATCACTTTTTATATATATAGGCTACAGATTCTAACTGGAGAATCTGCTTTACAATGACATGCCAAATAGTTACTTTGTTTATATATATTGACCCATAAACAAATCCCATATGCCATGCCATGCCATGCCACATTTTAGGACTTATAGGTAGTAGATAGATAACTATGACTCAATACTCAATAGCCATATTATAAAATGCTAACAACAAGTGTTTTGAGTTCAAAGAAATAACACATAGAAGATCGAGGGTCATCACAAAACCCTAACAAGTTGAATTTATTATCAAATCAAATACTTCCTCCTCCTCCATATCCATGATGATCTCCGGTAGTGTTTTGATGATCATTCCAATTAGGGTAAGAATACGGTATCGGATAACTAGATGTTTGATAAAAACCACCACCACCACCACCACCACCTCCGGATGGTCTTCTAGTAATTAATTCAACCGATCTTTGACGAAGAGTGATGTTATGATGAACAGGTAAAGGTGGAACGGGGGAAGATGTGAACTCATTGCAAGCATAGCGGATCAAGTCCGCATTAGCCGCGTCGAGCTCTTTTTGGAGGCGCTCGACTTGTCGTTGGAGGAAGGAGATTGCACCTACGCAGCCGTAGACGGGGTCTCTAACTCTTGCTTCGGCTTCGTAGGCTAAAGAATTAACGGCGTCTTCTCGTTGGTGCGGAAGGAGTTCGTTGAGGAGCTTAGTGACATTGCTAGCGCCGAAGATTTTGTGGACGTTGATGAATTTTTGCGGCTCTTCGGGTGGGAAGTAAGGTGAGAAAATGCAGCCAGGAAGACATTTTCTCCTTAGGAACTTGCAAGCAGCACAAGGGGAGTTGTATGAGCTGGATGATGCCATTCAATCCTTCTTTAACTAGCTGCAAAATATCAAGTAATTAAATCTCTTCTTATTCTTTTTTTATGTTTAAATATCTCGTGAAATTACTTAATTAGTGCTTTTGTTTGAACCTGGTTCTCATCCAACTTGGATATATGCATCTTAATTGTTTTCCATACAAACCTCTACCTAAGTTTAACTTTAATTAGTTGTTAAGTATACTACTTCCTCTATTTCAAATTATATGTCTTATTTTTCCTTTTTTAGTCTACTTTCCAATTTGGGGTTTTCTTAATTTTTTTAGAACTGGGAAACAAAGAGGAACATTTCAATTTTGAGTTAACAGATTTATTAGGAAAATTGGAAATCTATGCACCCCTCTAATTTGTACGAATTCAATTGAACTCGTTATTTTTTATACAGAACATATAAATACATAGTAGTATGAGAGAAACCATCTAAAGAGTTCAATAAATATTAGGTTTTGAACCATATATATTCTTGAGATATACAGTGAGTTCATGTTAAAAACTTTAAAAATTGAATCGATCAAGTTTAAATCATGGGGCACCATTAATTAGAAGCGTTAAGTTCAAAATGAATTCTATTTTTGGTATTATGTCCACTGCTAAGTTTAGCTAATTATATATTTTGTTGTTTCCTTTTATGTTTGATGTTTTATGTTTTATGTTTTATCCCAACTAACTAATTATTTCTTGTTTTATAGTTCATATGACTCAGAAACACACTGCATGCTTTCAATTATTTGTATCATCCAGCTAATTACTAGAGCCAGTAATTTTCATGATCCTGAATTTGGATTTTCCAATGGAAGTAGTGATATATCCTTTTGAATTTTGTTAAACATAAGATCTAAACAAAAATGTTCTTGAAATCTTATTTCATAAAAATATGTTTTTTTTTCAAGAAAACCCTAAATCAAGAACTGTGACACCAACTAATATAGCCAACATTTTTGTGTACCTTTAAGAAAAAGAAAAAAAAAAGATTTAGGCAAAAAAATGCTAGTAACTCTATTTTTTGATCTAGGTATATGTTTTGATGAGATGAAAGAAAAAATGGAATTAATCAATTACCTTTTTTTTTCTCTTTGAGGAAGCTCTCCTTGAGATCACAACTTGCCTCTTTATTTCTTCAATCAAAGTAACAAAAACAAAGTACAAAACATTAAAACAGTAGCAAGATTGAAAAAAAAAGAAGTGAACTTAATTCACAAGTAGAATAGTTACTAGCCCTGTAAGGGGGAAAACCCTAATTGAAGAAGAGAAGAAGTTTAGGTTTGTCCCCTGCAAATCTAGTAGTAGTAGTAGTAGGAAAAAAAGTTATAAATAAAGAAAAAAGAGTGAAGGGGCAAAGGGGATATTAGTGATGGAGAAGGAATGAAGGCAAAAGACAAAGAAGGGTAATAATTAAAATGGAAGGTACACTAGGGAAAAAAAATATAAAAAGATGACTATGTCCCATGACTCTGCATCTAATAATAATTTCATACTTTTGTGTGGGGGATATATGTATCATGCATGTATCTAAGTTTTTTTCCCTTCTACCCTATTTCTTTTTGTCTTTCATGTATGTATACTAGTTTTCATCCTCTTTGTTCCTTTGGAAATTTAATTAGGTCATTTCACCAATAAATTAATGAAGAATGTAGTGAAATGCGATATTTAGTGTGAATTGCTGTGAATATAGAGTTTTTAACACAAATTACGTCTGAAGTCATTAGATTGAGGACATGTCTGTCTGAGTGTCACGTATGAAGAAGAAAAGAAGAAGTGAAGATAGGAAATGAAAATGTTGTTTAACCAATTAATTTGTTGTAGTAGAGATTGAAGATACACGTGTTCTAACCTCTAACCATAATTGAAATGGTTTTCTTATTTTCTGATTATGGAGGAGAAAGTCTTTTCGTTCATTTTGTCTAAACTTGTTGTCAATCACCAATCACTCTCTTTATGGAGTTGACATGCTATATTACTTTATTGGCATTTAGGTGTTCGTGAAATTTTTATACTATAAAATTGACCAGTTTATGGTTGTCACTCTATTATAATTTTTTTTTTTTCGAATTTGAAATAAATAAGAGTATAAACAAGCTTACTCGAGCAAAGTTATATTGCTTGAGTTTAACTTGTTTGAAATTGAAGTGTCGTTATTATGACAAATAATTTAGGAAATCGTGGGATGGCACATGAATAAAAAACAAACGATTTGCTTAATGTTTTTTTTTCAAGAGTTAATATTTCATATATTTTTTTTCAATATGTTAGAACCAAAGCAGTCAAGGTTATGTCCGAATTAATAATCAAGAGAGTGAGTTGTGAATCATAAGATTTTAGATGCAAATTTCAAATGAGAGCGATCAAAACTCTATGTAAATTTTTTCTATTTGTTTTATAAGTCTTGATAAAGAAAATTACTTTGTATATGCTACCGCACAAAATTAGTCAAACTGTGCTAGTGGCTCATTCACCATAGTTATGGATTGTCAATGACTAACACAAGATGATTTTGGATATTCAATTTCACTTGCATCTTGTGTGAAAAATGATCAGCTATTTGATTATCTTGCCGTTGTTGCTGATTGTTTTTTTTTTTTGGAAAAATTATTTAACAAAAGCAAATATATGTCTGGTATTTATTTGAAATAATGAAATTTAAAAAAAAAATTAGTTTTATTTTTTTTGCTTTATTGTTCACTTGCTCTGTATATATACAACAAATTATATATTGAGCAGATTGATAGACTGGTACAAAGCAAATTAATTATACACTGTATCACGAGTTTCTAAAGTAAACTGTTACGACATTGGTAATTATCCAAATTATTACTATGATTGATAATTAGGACTCCTAGTGCTGCTAGCTATTTGTGAAATTTCCTTTCTTTTACTGCTAAATTACTTACTAGTAGTATGATATGTGAATTAAATTAATATCTCTTGACCGACTTATACTTATAAAATTATGTGTATATTGAAACCCTCTATAACTTGGGTTGTACATAACACATAGTTTCTCAAAGAAATTTGACTTTACTTTTTTGTTTTCGAGGTAACTCTCATCAATTAATAAACTAATTTAACCTTTTCAATATGTATTATGTATTAAATTCGTTTGAACTAAAGAAGCTAAATGAAAGAGATTAATTCCTACGTACCTAACCTTATTATATGGTTAGTATAATTTTACAAATAAAGAAATGAAAAAAGGATACAACTAACAACAAAAACTAAAAAGGAAAGATACAAAAGAATTAGTATTTTTTTTGTTTCTGTATCGCAGATCGACTTAATTCGGATTTGCCCTAAAAAATTACCATTGAAGATAATCGCTTCCTAACAAAAATAACTCCGTATAGCAGAAGACTCGAATCCGACACACAAAAGAATATTATCATGACTAAATAAGGACGTCTTGGAGTTTTTCTTTTTCAGTTACATGCTTTAAAATGTTCTAACCGTAAGACCCACTAACTGGGGGACCGTTTGGAAAATAATTTCCTTACGAAATCAAATCTTTTTAAAATTCTTTGGAGATCTGAAGATGGTAAAGTCAATTCAATATATTTGACTTGAAAGTTTTTTTAAAATAATAATTAAGACAAAGTGAGATTTGAAAAAAATAACTGACACACTCAAGAAAGTGATTTTTTGTTAGATTCTTATGTAAAAGATTAATTATCTCTAGAATTTTTAACCAATAGTAGGTAAAGTTTCATATTTTGGAAAGAATCTGCTTTATTTTATCTCTTAATTTTCATCAAATCCAGAAAAGTTATTTCAATTCCAGTGGTCGATCAAGGTTGTTTCCTTAAACCTTTATTACTTTGAAAACACAGCAGTGACTAAAACGAAAGATTTGATTTTATAGCCTTTTACAAATTTATTTTTAATTTTATGTCAAATGTTATTTTTACATGTAAGAAATCTGAAACGTTCATTTTCTTTAGTTCAATTCTTCAAGTGACAAAAGAGATCACTTCATTGATTAAAATCGTAATGAGCATTTACTTTGTTGTCAATTGTCATTTTTATATGTTTGAATGCAATTTTACTACAGAGAAATCACTATTTTTGCATTGAAATTTTCTATTGAAAATTTTGTAGTGGTTAATTTTTTATAGATATTTTAATTTAATCAGTGAGAAGAAAAAAATGTTTAGTGTCTAACTGTCTATTCTTCAGTATTCCAATGAAAATCTCTTTGCCACCATGTGTTTTCCCTAGTGAGCTGGTTCAGTGGAAGTAAGGTGGAAAAATCATGTTTTATAACACAAATTTCTTAGTGATTCACAGTTGAAAAAATCACTATTTCTATTAGTGGTTGAGTCTAAAATTTGAAAAATGTTGGTCATTACTTGGTAAAACTTTGCACTAAAGTTCTGTGCGGCGCTTGACAACTTACTCACGAATTTCGAAGTGATGGACATAACATTATGCTGTTTATTAATCCTCGGCATCAAGTGATTGATATACAAATCTTAGCATAAAATGTGCAAAACTTTTAGTAAGAAACAATGGCTTAATTTCGTTAAAAAGGCATACAAAAAGATAAGTAAATCAAAAGTTGAAAATTAGGTAACTTTGTTTTAGGAAACAATAATTAGAATAGAGTCTTTCAACTATCATTAGATCACCTGGAAGATAAAAAGCCTAAAATTTGAAGAATCATCACACTTTGACTCTGATCTACTACTTAACTAACTACTAAATTGAATTAATTTTTCAACTAAAAGACAAACATGTCTTAATTCAAACTCAAGTTTGCCAAAATCACCTGAACAAAGCAGTCAATGATTTTATTCAATAACTAAATTAAAGCAGTCAATGATTTTATTCAAAAATTCCTTGGTAAATGCGTTATCAATGATTTTTCTTGCTTGTGTTTTATTCAAATTCCCCCCCTATAAACGTTTTGAATCTAAATAATCGTGGGGATTTCTTAAAGTATGATAAGTGCGGAATAAGAATTTTTATAAGCAAATACTACAAAATATCTAAGGAGATTCAATTTATATATACACTATAATTTTTAATTAAAAAAATCAGATGAATCCCTTGTGCCTCTGGCTCGACTATCACCATCAGAATATATAACTTAAACGTACTACAATAATGAACGTTGTTTTCCTAGTTTAATTGTTCTTCTCTGCTTTTGGGCAGCCAAAATCATGTAACTACCATGGAACGATACTCAAGTAACAAATAGGTAAAAGAATAAGGAGAATTTTAGTTGCTCAGATAATTGGCTAACTGAATTTTCACTTTATTGGTGAAGGTTTGATTCTCTACCTAGTAATCGTTTCCCCCTTCCCCTACCCCAATTTGAAAAGGAAAGAAAAAAAGAATAGGTAAAAAATAGTTTCTCACTCATAATAGATATTGGTGTCTAGAGGCTATCAATTATGCCATGAATCTAGCTAAAAGCCTAAAAGCATCAACAATTAATTTATTGTACAATTATAATATTATCATTCTTAATTTTCCTTCAAAATGAACTTGGTAAAGGTGTTTGTATGTATGTATATTCCATTTAAGGTTATGGCCTTTGAAAATTAAGATGCCCTGCCCATCTATAATTAGGTCTCAATCAATGCTTCATGGTCAAAACATTCTTTGATGGGCCTTTTATTCCATACTATATTCTTTTTCATAAGTATAAAGAAAATTAAACAATTTTCTATTAGCAATTTTATCTATTAAGAAAATCTCAATTTGCTTAGTAGGGAGACTGCACCTATTGCACGCCTTCTCCTATAAAAATCTCATTGTGGGCCACAATACGGACATACAAAAATACGTGTGTTGAAAAAAAGAAAATGTCATGCCCAAGACCAGGCGGACGAGGGCGGGTCAAAGATAAGGACGGATAGTTATGCCGAGGAAGGATTAATGCACATGATATCTTAATTAAATAATTTCACATCGAGATGAGAAAGAAAATTAAGTGAAGAATTTATAAGATATATCACAAGTTGATCATATGTTGCACACAATGACAATATAGCTCTAAGTATACAAGTTTATGTAATCTGTTGAACTAAAACGAACTATACATAATGAATTGTGATAAAAAGAATAAATGTATGACTCACGTCTGAAAGGATTGCACCAAGTAATTAAGTAAAGGGGACATAATTGAATAATTTGATGGATAATTTGATGATAGGGGTAACAATGATTTTTTTTTTTCATTCATGTTCATTCAAACAAGTTTCCTTTTATTGTCAAAATAGACGTGAATTTTAGTGATGGATTTTACATCACTGGTTTCTGACAATGTTGGGTATCAAAAGTCAAAGATTTCAAAATCATCGGATCTTATTTTTATTGGGATATATTATTAACTATATGGTTGAATTATAGTATTGATTTTAATTCTTTATAAAAATTTAGCATTTGTGTGGCCATTACTATTGTACTAGATGATTTTTGTGTATGGAGTTGTTTAACTCATATGCGGAAGATTAAAATTGTCGGTTCTTATAAGTTATAAATTAAATGTTTACAATCAAAGATGAAGTTGGACAAACATCTTGATGATTGTAGCACAAGATTAAATATAATTCTATCTTAATTATGAAAATGTTAAAATTTCAACTTCTTGTGTTAGTACATTTGTATGTGTTGAACGGACCAAATTGAGATATTCATTTAGGTTCTGAATTTTAAAATATCTCTAGTCCATTACATTGCTTATACTCTTAATCTTGATATAGTTATTATGATTTGTGTAGTTTGTTTTATTATTTTAATCTATTAAAAGGTGAGACTCAATGATTAGTCAAAATATTCCTAATGGATTGGATAATGACAAATTACATTCGTGAAATAATAATTAGTTGATAGAACCATATCTCGGATATGAGAAAGAAGACACCCTTTTATGGTTCCTTAAAAGTTGTCACGTGAAAACCTACAGGTGGATTATATATATATATATCACGTAAATTAATTTAAGCATGGAGATAAATGATTAAATTAATTAATATATTAAATTTTTTAGAAGTTTGATTTAATTCATAGGTGTCGGTAATTTTAACATAGGGAGTTAAATAAGTTATAATGGTAAATTTTGAAATTAAATAGATGTGCACAATTATAGATTTTTAGTGATACAATATGTGATTTATTATGATATGGTTAATTCATGTTTTTATCAATAAAATATATTAATTGAAAGCCTCTGTTAATAAATTTGTGGTTCCTACTATGCCTGATTAATTGATCAAGTTCAGAAAAAAAAGACTATTAGTATTTTTTTTCTGTTTAGAAATAAATCATTTTTGACTTGGTTCAAAAGAGGATTTTTTTTTTATTTCCTTAAAAGAAGAAAGAAGAAAATACTTGGTTTCTTTGTTTCCTTGGAAGATGAAAGAAGCAAATATCGTTATTAATGGTATTAACAGTGTTTAATAGTTATTGAATACCTTCAATGGTGTTTAACAACTATTGATGATATTTAACGGTTGTTGAATACGTTTAATGACTGCCTAAATATCCTTACTGGTATTTAATGATTGTTGATAGCTATTGAACATGACTGTTGGTTACTCCTAATGGTGTTTAAATACACTTAATGGTATTTAATGGCTATTAATTATGACTAAAAATGTTTCATCTTTTAAACCTTTCCCCTTTGCTGAAAAGTATAAATAGGGGTGGTGGTTCTCAAGAAAAGATCATCATTTTTTCTGAAAATATTTTTGTCCACACAAGACTTAATTGAGAGAGTTAGTCAGGAACTAGTAGAACACTACAATCCAATGAGTTGTGTGAAAACTTCAAAAGGTTAGAGTTTCACAATTTATTCAGTTTACATTATTATGTTATTATGTCTGTTTGTGATCTTGAATAATGATTCCGCTATGCATATTTTAACAATTTTGTCCTGGCATAATTTCTAGCTACGAGTGGTAAAATTAGGGATGACAATTGGGTGGGTTGGATCAAATTTGGACGGATCCTAATGGGTTAAGATAATAATAGGATTAAGACCCAACCCAATCCAACCCAACCGAAATTTATTTGGTTCATTATGAGTTAGGTAATGGATACATTTCGGGTTTGACCCAACCCAAACCAATTTTTACTAAGCTTAGTCATTTTATTTGTTCTTTCAAACTATTTTAGTACCTAATTAAAAAAATTTTCTCTCTTTATTATGTCTATATTCAACATATCAAATTGAAAAAAGAGTTTTTTAAAAGTATTATGACAAAAATTTTCATGAGCCAATTTGAATTACGTATCAACCCAATTTTTAATGGGTTGAACTAATGAAGAAGCAATTTTCACATATAACAAACACAAAATTCATATTTGTATGCTATAACAAAGTTTGCATAATTGTGCTCCATAGCAAACATATATAAGTATAATTCGCTATACATATACAAAAAGAACAGTTGTATGAGGACGAATATATATGTATTTGCATGTGTATATACAATTTTCTCGCGCTTTATACAAACAGAAACGCAATTTATACAATTCTGTTGTATAAAACGAGAAAGAGAGAAAGACAAAAGAAAACTGGGCAGGAAAATATTTGTATTGTATAATTATAAATGTATAGGACGAAGATATATGTATTTGCATGTGTATATACAATTTTCTCTCGCTTTATACAAACAGAAGCGTCAATTTATTACATTTCGTTTCTGTTTGTATAAGCGAGAGAGGCGAGGGTGGCGAGCAAGATTTGGGAGAGGGGAACGAAAATATATGTATATATACAATTTCCTCTCGCTGTATACAAACACAAATGCATTTTATACATTTGTGTTTGTATAAAAAGCGAGAGAGGCGAGCGAAACTGCCACCAAACGAGAGTGGCGAGCGAGATTCCACCAGGAAGAGTGGCGAAAAATAACAATAGTTTGCTATAGGGTACAATTAAATCAAAGTATATTTATAACATTTAATTTGAATTAATAGTTTGCTATTATATATAATTTCGGGTCAATAATCCGCCCAAACTTAAACGAATTAGACGAGTTGGATTTGAATTTGATTTTGCCACCCCTAAATAAAATTATTAACCTATTAAAAAATGAGTCTGCTCAAATTTGGGTGGGCTGAATTAGGCATAATTTAGCGGATCAATTTGAACAGAACTAAAGTCGGTTCATCTATAAAAAATGAATTGATAGAGCGCCTAGGGATACGAAAAAACTCCGTTCAATTATATATAAGTGTTTCTAGTTTTTCAGTTAAATAAGAGTGTTACTGAATAGAGTTTAAAAACATGCCTACTAACAGATCATTTGAAAAATAATTTACACTTGTTATTTTCTTGGGACAGAATATTAAACGATGATAAAGGATCATGCAATTATTGAAAAAGAAACTGTAGGGATGCACCTTGCATGGATACTCTAAAGTCCAAATTAAGAGTTAAAGTCCAGTTAGAATCCAATACATAACATTGTCAAAATAGCCCAATCCAGCACCATAGTCCATATCATAAGAAGGCCCAAAATAGCTCCCAACTGTAGTGTAGACAATACACTAGTATAGCCCAACAGGCCCACAGCAGAAAAGCCCTCCAATTCCTGACTAAGCAGTAAGCACGTTTAATTTTTAATTAACTACTATATCTTTAAGGGAAAATTATACATAATGACAAACTATTAATTCAAATTAAATGGTATAATCACACTTTGATTTAATTGTGTCCTGTAGCAAACTGTCTGCCAGCGCCTCTCTCCCTCAAACTCTTGCTCTCCACTCTCCTCTCTCGCTCGCTCACTCCCTCTGTGCTCGCCTCTCTCGCTTTATACAACAAAAGTGTATAAATTGCGTTTCTGTTTGTATAAAGTGAGAGAAAATTGTATATACACATGCAAATACATATATATTCGTCCTATACACTTATAATTATACAATAAAAATATTCCCCTGCCTAGTTCTCTTTTGTCTTTCTCTCTTTCTCGTTTTATACAACAGAATTGTATAAAGCGCGAGAAAATTGTATATACACATGCAAATACATATATATTCGTCCTATACACTTATAATTATACAATAAAAATATTCCCCTGCCTAGTTCTCTTTTGTCTTTCTCTCTTTCTCGTTTTATACAACAGAATTGTATAAAGCGCGAGAAAATTGTATATACACATGCAAATACATATATATTCGTCCTATACACTTATAATTATACAATAAAAATATTCCCCTGCCTAGTTCTCTTTTGTCTTTCTCTCTTTCTCGTTTTATACAACAGAATTGTATAAAGCGCGAGAAAATTGTATATACACATGCAAATACATATATATTCGTCCTATACACTTATAATTATACAATAAAAATATTCCCCTGCCTAGTTCTCTTTTGTCTTTCTCTCTTTCTCGTTTTATACAACAGAATTGTATAAAGCGCGAGAAAATTGTATATACACATGCAAATACATATATATTCGTCCTATACACTTATAATTATACAATAAAAATATTCCCCTGCCTAGTTCTCTTTTGTCTTTCTCTCTTTCTCGTTTTATACAACAGAATTGTATAAAGCGCGAGAAAATTGTATATACACATGCAAATACATATATATTCGTCCTATACACTTATAATTATACAATAAAAATATTCCCCTGCCTAGTTCTCTTTTGTCTTTCTCTCTTTCTCGTTTTATACAACAGAATTGTATAAAGCGCGAGAAAATTGTATATACACATGCAAATACATATATATTCGTCCTATACACTTATAATTATACAATAAAAATATTCCCCTGCCTAGTTCTCTTTTGTCTTTCTCTCTTTCTCGTTTTATACAACAGAATTGTATAAAGCGCGAGAAAATTGTATATACACATGCAAATACATATATATTCGTCCTATACACTTATAATTATACAATAAAAATATTCCCCTGCCTAGTTCTCTTTTGTCTTTCTCTCTTTCTCGTTTTATACAACAGAATTGTATAAAGCGCGAGAAAATTGTATATACACATGCAAATACATATATATTCGTCCTATACACATATAATTATACAATAAAAATATTCCCCTGCCCAGTTTTATGTTTGTATAATGTATAATTTATGTTTTGTATAAAGCGAAAGAGAGCGATTCTTTTTGTATATATGTATAACGAAATAGACAGCTTTCAATTGTATATGTATAGCGAATTATACATATATATGTTTGCTATGGAGCGCAATTATGCAAACTTTGCTATAGCATACAAATATGATTTTTTTGTTTGCTATATGTGAAAGTTGCTCCGACAATCCCTTTTATATATAAAATATATAATATTTAAATTATTCTTATAGATAAATTACCCTTAATTACGTAATAACAATAAAAACATAACAAAGTACATCAATAATTCAATAGTTTAACACTTTATAATTCGTTAAAATTATGACCGATACAAATGCACATATGAATTAATTGGAAGTGAATGATGTTCAATCACAAATCACAACGACCAAAGTTTAAATTTATTTATACTGGAGGGACTAAAACTGTTAACTATTGTTTTCTTAAGTGTAAAAAATCCAACAAAAAAAACAAAGCAGAGAAAAGGCCAAAAGCCTATAACAGACTGTTTACTTTCAAACTCATCTCTCTCTGCTAAATCCATTTTTTTCATGCAAACTTTCTCATCAACATCTGTCACTCTTCTCCCACGCGTCCATTCTCCTCTTCCTTTATATTCACTCCCACCTTCTTCCCTCTTTTCTCATCCTCAATTTAATCATCATTCACTCTTCAATTAATTTAATTTTTTTTAAATAAAAAAAATAAATTCAAATCTGCCGTTCTATCCATGGCTGAGCAACAGTCCCGTACCCAGCAGCAGCAGCAACAGCAACAAATGCAAGTTCAGCCAACGGAGGCTATCAAAAGCCTTCTTCCTCAAAAAGGTCCTTCTAAATCCCAAATCCTTGCTGTCGTCACTCTCTTCCCTGTCGGTGGAGCTCTCCTTTGCCTCGCCGGACTTACGCTCGTCGGAACTGTGATCGGACTTGCCGTTGCTACTCCTGTTTTTCTGCTGTTCAGTCCGGTTTTGGTCCCGGCGGCACTGACAATCGCGCTGGCTGTTACCGGATTTTTGACGTCCGGTGCGTTTGGGATAACGGCGTTGTCGGCGTTATCGTGGATGATAAATTATATGAGGAAAATGAGGGGAACAGCTGGAGAGCAGATGGAGCATGCGAAGAGGAGGGTGCAGGAAGCTGCGGGGCATATGGGACAGAGAACAGCCCAGAAGTAGGCTACTAGAATGCGTGATTGAATTCTGATTGGAGTACTGTTAAGTTCTGTGTTTTTTTATATATAATTTAATATGTGTATGTATTACTGTCTTTAATGTGCTTAATTTGCAGCGTTTTGATTTTCTAGTACTATAATAAAATGCGTGAGCCTTTTGTGTTTGGTATCTTCTTTTCGTTGAATGTCGAATTTGGACTCTGTTGTTTTGCCGGTAAACAAAGTTACGATTCTAAGTGGCGTACTATGCTATATCACTTATTTGTGTCTATTTTTCACACTCGCGAAAATATTACTAGTGCAGAATTTAGACCTTAATGATCAGTCGCTAATAATATTGAGATGGAAGTCAAGCCATATAATAGTGTGATTGAGCAAATAATTAACACAATGACTAACATGGTAGAATTTTGGAAATATCAAATGCACTTTTTTAAAAGGGAAAATTATATAAAATGACAATCGGATTAAAATTTTTACTCAATATAGCCATTCCGCCACCTTTTCTTTTCATCCAAAAATCTTTTTTTGGATGAATATGGATGTATATGCTTTCGGCCACCCTTTCTTTACAAATCCAAAAAAGAATTTTACTTTTATGTAAAGAAAAGGTGGCCGAATTTTCAGCTATTTTTGGATGAAGAATATAGATGTATGTATATTTTTGATATATATACTATTTATAATCCATTGATACAAAATATATACATTATATAAACTATTTAGGCACTAATTGAAATAATTTGTCACTTGTACAGTTATGTAATCTATTAAAACCCTAGGTCCTTTTACGTGGGCTAGCAAGAAAGAAAACATGGGCAAAAAACTAACTAACATTCACAATATAAATTAGGCCCACTAATGTATTAACTAATTTTTCATCTCATACATTATAGGAAAAATTACATTTATATGTATTACTCAATATTTTTTAAATAAAATATGTCACTACTAACCAATTTTTAAAGTAATATTCCGATCTTCATATTCTATTTCTATAAAAACTTTATCAAAATGCTCATAATGTATACATCTATAATGAAGTAAAAGTACTTTTTTTCTGAACTGTGCAATGGTTGTGCCATATTTGTGCCAAAAGTGTGTGCGCAAATATAAAGAAAATATATTTGAGCTAAAAGAAAAAAAAGTGTATTTTCAGCTTTAAAAACTAGCGACGTATATTTGCGATCCTATTCTGTACTTGGAGATATATATTGATGACTGATGATGTTGATTGTCGGTAGTGATTGATGGTTGTTGTGGTAATAGTAGTTGGTGGTGATGATTGTGAATGGTGGCTAGTGATGGTGATGATTGATGAATGTACTGATTGGCAGTGACGTCAGTTGTGGGTGGTGGACGGTTAGTAGTTGCTAATGGTAGGTGATTGTGGTGAATGAATAGAATTATTGAACTATCCTTGAATATACATCTTTATGATATTAAAACTTTGTTACATATCTTAATCGGTCATCTATTCAAGTGATTCAACACACATTAAGTGGTTGTAATGGTTAAATATCTGAATAATTATAATTCAGACCTAAAACACAAATGAATTTAATGACAGATTTGTATGATTAATAAGATTAAAACCTTCATTAAGTGCAAATAAACGAGGCCTTAGTATTTATCTAGAGTTATTCATACGCTTATCGTTATGCTTCATGCTCTTTGCCAAATGTGTAATTGTAGGTACTTGATGGTTGGTGTGGTTCGTCTCCCTTGCTATGGTATGTTTGCCTTGGTGATAGCATTGAAGTATTGGTTAGCAAAATTGTTCAAATGGATGATTAGAAAGATATCTGGAGACAAACAATGAGTTCAAATACCATTAAACAAATAAAAAAGCATTACTCAATATACACTAGTAATTCTTAAACCAAAATGTCTTTTTTTCTTTTAAATTCTTAATGTTGCTCAGATAAATGAGCTGAGCAGCACAAGCTATTCTATTTATACGTTTTACCCTCATCAACAGACTCGGAAGAAATGGAAAAAGATTTTATTCCCACATTCTTGAATCTCCTTTGTATATCCTTCTCATATTTGATATGTTCTACTTGAATCGAGGATTATCGAAAACAACCTCAGTAAGGTTAAGGATGCATATCCACCACCCTCTCCAAACCCCGTATGTAATTGTTGCTTGAATCTCCATGTGTAACTACCTTCATATTGTCTACTATTTCAGCTTGTGTTGCAAACCACTAGAGTCTATTCCAAGGGGAAAATATGTGAAGCCTCTTTTAGTCATTTAGCAATGATTAAAAAGGCATTAAAACAGAAATGTATCATTTAATTTAGCCTGAACTAGCATCTAAGTAGACATTTAAACTTATTTAAGATTAAACAAGTTAACACATTTTGAGCCTTGAAAATAATTGAGATTTTAGTGGGGAGTTGTTTCTCCTTTTGACAGACATTATAATACACAATTCAAATAGTCAAAACTCTAAAGCCAATATTGAATACTGAGTACTGAGTGGGAAACAAAAAAGACACAACATTCAAAAATTCTAAATATTCTTCTACACAATGGAGATATTAAGTACCCAATAGAATAATCGAGGTGTAAACAAACAAAGAGTCCTACAACAATAACAAGATAAGTGTTCAATTGTCAAGAAATATTATCTTCACATATCTCTCATCAAGCATGCAAATCTTGGCAGAAAAGATGCACTCTTTGGAACTCATTATCCACCAAGTTTCGAACCATATGCCAAATAGTGTTAGAGCATTTCTTGGTTACTAAAAAAAGTGCTATTTGACATCTCCAGTAGTTCAAACATATCAGAAGCACACAGAAAGAACATCTTCAATGTGGCTAGCAACACATGGAGGGGAAATGGAATTCAATGAAGAAAAATTATGCACAGGAAAGTCCTTTGCCATGAAAAGCAGCCAGCACAAAAATAAAGGGAAGTAATCAAATCCAATGACAAGATATTCTAGGCACAACAAACATAATGTTTAGGTGGGGATTGCCAATAGAACATAAGGAAAACCCTTCAAATTCCTATCCCTACTTTGAATATGTTTTCCAAGTTGATGTTTTTTTCTGTCTTTCTGATAGTATTTTCAGCTTCCCGGACCAATAATAAAAGAGAAGAAAAGAAATAAAAAGGGCCCCCATTTGCTTGAATTACCATAATCAAGGTTTCACATTCTCCCTAATGAACTTCTCTAGCTGAGAAATTTCACCGGTCAGACCAGAAGCTTCAGCAACAATTACTCTGTTATGGCATTGAGAAAAAGTAAATGGTTCTCCAGGTACACCAAGCGTATATTCATTAGAGATATCTGCATCAGATACAGCAGTTCTTGATGTACGAAGCTTGTCGCTGGATCAATAAGAAAACAAACTAGTTATAAAGCAGAACACAAGAGATAGCACTTCAGTTTTTAAGTTTTTGCAGTGGTTATGATTCAGTGAGCCTCCAAGTATATTAGCAAATAAAGCATGCAACAAGATTTCACGTTTGGGAAGGTTTTCTAGGCGTAAGCTTGTTGCTGAATTAATGATATTACCAACAATTTATAAAGGGTGTTGTTGTTCATTACCAAAAGGAGAATAAAGCATGCAACACAGTATTCCACCGTGGAGAGGTAAATTTCAACTCTTCAGAAGGCAGTTCTGCCTTTTTAAGTGTTCGGATCAGAGTGATGTTTTACACACATAATATATATGTATGTATGTATGTATACAAAAGGCAAATTGGTGTTTGCTACAAAATAAATGCATGCATAGTGTACTCTTACATTTCTTTCTCCAGCTGTTTTCTGATGAATTCTGCTGTATGTGCAGTTACTTTGTCAACCTTGTTGCAAAGGAGGAGTACTGGAACTTTTTTCTTGACCACACTTGCCTTTGTCAAGATCTCATATAAGTACCTTCATGCAAGAGGGATTATACGATGTAAAATTCAGTTGTGAGATATCCAATGCAAATTAACAACTGCCAATGTAGAGTATAAGCAACAATAAATGATCAGTACTCTGAAGCAGGACGGCAGTTTGGTAAAAATTCCACTGAATCCACCACAAACACAACGCCAGCTGCTTGAGGCAGGAACTCATCTAGTTTCGGCCTAAGACGAGAGTGCCCAGGGACATCAACAACGTGAACAGGCTTCAATTTCCCTTTCTGCAGCAAAAACCAAAACAAGTCGTATGTAATGTGAAATTCCATTCACAGATAAAGGAATTCAGTAAATCAATTACCAAAGAAAAAACTGATAGACCATCAGCAATAATAAGATCCATCTATCCCTTCTAAAGGTATAGATCACAAGGATGCATGCAAAATGGTAGGGCAGAAAAGGGGAAACAAGATAAGACAATGTTCATTACCTTGTCTTCCTCAGAGTGTAGTATAAAACTGCCTTCATTTGGTTCCATTGACGTCACGGTACCCTGATGGGCTGAACCATCTCTAAGCTGGTATATGCCAGCACATCAACATCAGAACAATTTAACTTTGAAAAGATTATACAGTTCACATGTCAGAGAGTTACCTGGTAAAAAAGATATGTTTTGCCGCTTCCACTTAGCCCAGTGAGTACAATGGTGTTAGATGTTGTACGTTTGAACAAGCGAACTGCAGGCGAAAAAGTAAACAAAAGGAAAATCTTCAAATTTTAGCCTCCAAAGAAAGTCAAAATAGATGAGCAAACAATCTAAAACTAATACATTAAGTCATTCACTGAGGATCATCATAGTGAACAGAAGAGTGATATAGAAATTACAAAAATGTGTGGCATTAAAGAGGAGAAATGAAGACAAGAAAATGAAAGAAAGAGCTCACTAAGCTTAAAAACATTTACATTCTTCCCTTGAAACCAGTGGGAAAGGAAAAACATCTTTTTTCTTTGTGTTCTCCGGTAAGCTACAACAACTGCACAAGTATGCCACAGCATTTCCAATTGAACTAGTGCCCGAGACGGAGCCAGGATTTTATATCTAGTTCTGGACTCCCTTCACCAAGTCATCGCCAACAATCAGCTCTTATCCCTTGGTGTCAAAGGGCGAGTTCCTTTCTTGTCTTGCCCAAAAACTTTCTTTAGGGCTTCGGTTCGAGACTCTGAATCGATCAATCGAATGGGAAAACACCTTTCCTCTTTCGCTTTCTCTCCACTCCTGCTCCTGTGGCTTCCCTTCCGGGTTCATTTCATGCCCCCTCTGGTTACTCGAGGTCCAGCGGATCAATCCAGAATTGACTTTAAGTGGTAATGATTGGGTTCTAAATTTATTGTGTGCGCATATTTAATGAATTTCTTAACACAAATACAATATTTAGATCCTGCACTCTAGAAATATATTCACTGTGAACTATTGGGAGCAGCTTATAACCATTAAAGCTCCCATTGTTTGCATTGGTAAATAGAAGTTCCCAGCTCAACTGAAATGATACCTGCAAAAGGTAATTCAGTTCTTTAGTTTGGGGTAGATAGCTTTAGATGGCTCCTACTAGCTCTAACCGCACGTGCAAGTTCCCCTGCATACGGCTAAGTGGTGAAGGCCCTTTCCTTCGCGCTTGGTAAACGATTCGTTGTAGCCAAGCTTACTGCTAACCTATCCAGTAGAGCCAAGCTTGCAGGTTTCCCTGCATGTGGCTCGTTTGCTATAATTTCTGTAGATTTGTGTGAACTAGCAGACCGATCACTAAGTGGGGAAACTCCCTCCAGCATGAGCGAACCCTTTCAATCTGGTTAAGAATGAGCGCCACTATTCATGCCCAGTATATGTCATACCGACTAACACATCCAACGGCACACTCATAGACGAATGAAATTCACTTGTCAAATGTAAATTACTAGTCATTCTGTAAAGAAAATTAGAAAAGAAAAACTCTTATTAAATTTGGTTCTTATCAACATACAAGAAGGCTCTTGATGTAAGAGTTCTGTAACTTCATGGAATATGATGTTTTTGTTTTTTAAATTATTGAGTATGTATGTTTAATTATGACATGATCATTAAGAATACTTTAATAATTCGCATAATGATTCTCAAATTTGAACAAAAATATAATCGTTAAGAATATTGTACATAATTATTCAATTCCAGAAATTTCATTTGGCATGGTTGCAAGGAGAACAAAGGATACAATTTGGTCAAGTGGGTGACAGTTTTGCATAGAAAAGATAAAGGTGGCTTGGGCATCAGAGATTTGAGGAAGCATAACAACAGTCTTTTGATGAATGGTTGTGGAGATACACTGAGGAGAGGCAAGCTTTGTGGAAAGATTTGATTAAATGTAAATATGGGGAAGATGGATTCTGGTGTAGTAACATAAGCACGGATGCTTAAGGAGCGGGGGTTTGGAGAGCTATTAGAAACTTATGGCCCAAGTTAGAAGCAAATTTACATATCAAGGTGGGGGATGGAGGATACAATTTGGTCAAGTGGGCGACAGTTTTGCATAGAAAAGATAAAGGTGGCTTGGGCATCAGAGATTTGAGGAAGCATAACAACAGTCTTTTGATGAAATGGTTGTGGAGATACACTGAGGAGAGGCAAGCTTTGTGGAAAGATTTGATTAAATGTAAATATGGGGAAGATGGATTCTGGTGTAGTAACATAAGCACGGATGCTTAATTCATCAGAATAATATTAGTAATCTTTGAGGCAGTGTCGGGGCTTTCTGTGAATTGGAGAAAAAGCAGCATGTTTCAAGTCAAGGAAGTAGCTAACATCCAGTGTTTAGCAAATATTTTGAGTTGTAAGATAGAAAATCTCGGATGTATGGATCAAACAAACCCCCCTAAAAGACTTGTTTCCTGATCTATTTATTTTGTGCACCAATTCTGAGGCAATGATCAGTGATTGCTGGACAGTACAAGGTTGGAATCTCTATTTCAGAAGACTTCTAAATGATTGGGAAATAGAGAGAGTAGCCAAATTGTTGGAGGAAGTGGGGGATTTTGCAGGCACCAATACTGACAATGATGTTGTTAGATGGTCACACAGTAAGGATGGGATCTTCACAGTTGGTAGGGCATATAAAAAGGAGTGCAACTCGCAAAGTAGCAGATACCAGAGTTCATGGAAAAATATCTGGAGGACTGCAGCACCAACAAAAGGTAAATGCTTTACTTGGCTGGTCATTAGACAGGCATGCTTGACACATGAAGTCTTGAGGAAGAAAAGAAAGATCATACTTCCATGGTGCTCTTTATGTGGAAAGACAGGGAAACAAACAGTCACCTATTCTTACATTGTACTTTCACATCACAAATATGGTCCATGTTTCTCAACTTTTTAGAAGTGAAATGGACTATGCCCGAACATACAACTGATTTACTTAGTTGTTGCATCAGGAGAGGAGGTAGCAAGAGACAGAAGACCTGGTGGAATTTGATTCCACATTGCATTTGGTGGACAGTGTGGAAGGAGAGGAATAGTAGGAATTTTGAAGATATATCCAATTCCAATTCAACAAGGTTTAAATGGAATTGCATTGTATCTCTACATTTTTGGTGTAAAGAGATAGGATTAGAGGATTCAGATCAACTTTTTGATCAACTTTTAGAATTTTTAGGATCCTTGTAAGTATTATGCTTTTTTGTTCTTTTCTGTATTTTTTTAAAGGTCCCCTAGCATATCCTTAATGCTGAAGAATACAATGTTTACCAATTCTCAAAAAAAAATTGAGTTTACTTATTCTGAAATACAAAACACTAAAAAGAAATGGAACATCAAACAGACAAGTGAATAATACACCACAATACTGAAAAACCACCCAGAAGAAAAGTGGTCGGCAATTTCTCTCCTGAAAAGCAACCAGTACATAGAAAGAAAGTTTCTTGCATTAAAACAGAAAAGAATCTGTTTCAATCACTGGAAAAAGACACACATAAATACCCAGCAAAACATCAGCATGGTTCAAATTGGTTGCTGAAGAATGACGCCCAAAAAAGTTTCCAGAACAATAACTGGAACTTCAATGAAAAGAAGGAGGACTTCTAAGAAGAGAAATGGGAGAGCCCAGGATGCTGCCCCGCTAGCACTCATGCGGGTCCTTTGGAAGGAAAGAAACAAAACCGGGGTGTTGCCCCGCTAGCTCGATAGAGAATGATTATTATATTTGAGGAATAGCCTCTCATTTCTAGCTTCTTTTAGTGCACCCATGAGGCTCTAAATTGTATAGAAGATTGTGTCCTCTATGGTCATATTACTTATAAAATTGCTTAACCTTATAAAAAGGGGTAGGGGAAGAATATTCTCCTTGGGAAGATGACTAAAAGTTCAATACTCAAAGGAATCAATAATTAGGTCTCGATCTATTTGAAAAAATTAAAAAAGGGAAGAAAAATTCTTTTGAGAACAAGTGATCGGAAATTCAATGTTCAAACAAATGACTCCTTACTCTAACTCTGACACCATAAAGAAAAAATAAAAATGAAAATATGTTCCCATAAATTCTGATAGAAAATTCAATATTTAGAGGAGGGACTGACCTTAGATTCATCATCAAGGGGCGCAATGAATCGTTTACTTGAAAACTCTGTAAGAACGATTTGAAACACGGCAAAAAGAGTCAGCCCATCAGGATGATCACAAAAGGAGGTGCAGTGGGAGCAATTATGAAACACATTATAATAATGACGCTAGAATGATCATTAGAAGTAAGAGAGGGCCTCCACAATGGTCATTAGAAAGAGACATTTACAATAGTCATACTTTGCTTCATATTAAACCTATGAAAACAAGAAATTCAAGACGAACAGGCAGCTTAAGGCCTCTCACCTAGAAAGAGACATTTACAATAGTCATACTTTGCTTCATATTAAACCTATGAAAACAAGAAATTCAAGACGAACAGGCAGCTTAAGGCCTCTCACCTAGAAAGAGACATTTACAATAGTCATACTTTGCTTCATATTAAACCTATGAAAACAAGAAATTCAAGACGAACAGGCAGCTTAAGGCCTCTCACCTATAGGCAAAGCTACTGAATTCTATCAAAATTGTCGAGACGGTAATATCATAGAGAACAAGAAGAAGGGAAGATTTTTCCAGGATGGTGTCACTGAATGATCACCAAAAAGACACCCTAGAATAATCACCAGAAAGAGACAAAAATAATGCACTCGTCAACGGAAAGAAAAAAATTTGGGCAGACAGATGGCATATGACCACTCGCTTGTGAGTAACAAACTCCAATACCATGTGGAAAAAAAAGAGAGCAGAAAACAACACCAACATACCTAGTGTAATACTACAAGTGGAGTCTGAAGGAAAAGAGAGAAAAAAAACGCTTACTGAATTTTGTTATTAGCAGTATAAAATATGACTCATCATGTAGGGTTGCAACAGCTCACAAAAGGTTTAATTCTATTGACACTTTGGTGGTGGAAGGAAACTCTATATCAGATCCAGAAGATATTAAAGGAGAAATCATCAACTTTTATCAAAAGTTGTACACAGAGACTGAACAGTGGAGACCGGAATTTAAGTTGCAAGGCTTGGAAACTATTAGTGAGGAAGAAAGAGATTGGTTGCAAACTCACTTTGAGGAGGCTGAAGTTTTGAAGTGCATCAAGTCATGTGCCAGTGACAAGGCACCTGGTCCTGATGGCTTCCCCATGTGTTTTTTTCAGAGTTTTTGGGAGGTGCTTAAGTTTGATTTTATGAATGCAGTAAACCATTTTCATGAAAGACACGAGTCTGAGAGGAGCCTCAATGCCACCTATGTGGCCCTTATTCCAAAGAAGCCAGGGGCAACTGAACTTAGAGACTTTAGACCAATAAGTCTTATTGGTGGAGTTTATAAAAATTTTGCCAAGCTTCTGGCAGAAAGAGTGAAAAAAGTAATCAGTAAGCTAGTCAACAAACATCAAATGACCTTCATACAGGGCAGACAGATCCTAGATGCAGCTCTTACAGCTAGTGAATGTGTAGATTCAAGGATTAAAGGTGAAACCCCAGGAATCATGTGTAAGCTTGATATTGAGAAAGCTTATGATCATGTGAACTGGGATTTCCTTATTAATATCCTGAGACAAATGGGGTTTGGAGAGAAATGGCTGAAGTGGATAGGATTTTGCATTAAAACTGTCAGGTTCTCTATATTGATTAATGGAGAACCTGCTGGTTTTTTTCCCTCAGAAAGGGGGTTGAGGCAGGGTGATCCTCTTTCTCCTTTCCTCTTTATTCTAGCTATGGAAGGACTTAATAGTATGATACGGGTGGCCTCTCAGAAGAAATGGTTAAAAGGATTCAAAGTGGGCAACCAAGCTGGGGAAGATCTACAAATTTGTCAATTACTGTATGCAGATGATACTGTGATCTTCTGTGACGCCAAGGCTGAGCAGGTGTGTTTCATCAGAATAATATTAGTAATCTTTGAGGCAGTGTCAGGGCTTTCTGTGAACTGGAGAAAAAGCAGCATGTTTCAAGTCAAGGAAGTAGCTAACATCCAGTGTTTAGCAAATATTTTGAGTTGTAAGATAGAAAATCTCCCAACTACATATCTAGGGATGCCATTGGGTAACAACTACAAAGAATTAGAAATATGGGATGGAATTGTGGAGAAGA